CTGTCTGGGCCAGCAGCGTTTGTTTGGTACTCGGAAAAAAATAATGGTGCTGCCGGATTGTCGCAGGTGGTCATAAACCTGTGTGTGCTACAAAGGCGGTAGGAAAATAACAGGAAGGGCCTTGCAGCGGGTGTTTCAAGAGCGAAGCGCCCGAATGGCGATGGAACTTTTGGGAGGCTGATGCAAAGGAAAAACTGCGCCTTGTCGAAACGCAGAGCGGCTCTCCGGCTCGCTTTGCGTGCAGCAACCAGCCAGCCTGAAGGAACATTGCTGCCAGGGAAAGGTCGGAGTCTAAAAAGCTGTTTTTCTCCCCGTCTGGCAGCTCCTGAGCTGGGGGGGGGGGGGGCTGGAGCATGAGCTTGGCAGCAGGAGCACCGTCCCACCGATCTGCAAAACCTCGTGCTCCCGTGCCCGGCGGGCGGGCGAATAGCCCCGCAACCCTCCTCGCCCTTCTGTGGGCAACAAGTGCTCTCCTGGTGTTTCACAACACCGAGGGTTGGAATGAAGGCTGGACCAAACCTGGCTTGGCCGGGAGCTGCGCCTAAAACCCCAGCTCGCCTCGAAGGGACCGTGCGGCCTTTTGCAGGCTTTCCTCCGTGGCTGTGCAAACCCAGGTGCTGGCACCCAAAGGAGCTCGTCCCCAAAGGGAAAGGGGCACAGCTGAGACTTCAGGAGAGCCAGGGTTGGGGTCTGGCTCTTCTGGTTAGCTCCAGCTCCTCCTGAAAGCTCTCGGGCAGCTGGTCCCAGGGAGCCCCGGGCAACAGCTCCGCTCCCTCGGGGGGGTAAAAAGGGCTCTGGGTGCCGCCCCTGGGCAGGGGCTGTGCTGGCCTGGGGTGGTGATTTGAGGCTCTTCACCCCACCCGTACGGCCCAGCACGAAGCCCCCAGAGCCGCTTGCACCCCTGCCCAGCGCTGCCGTGATAAATCTGCCGCGAGAAGCGCTTGAGGGGCGCCGAGGCAGGCAGGGATCGCCGGGGCCGCTGACCCCGGCGGGCCGCGAATCGGCTATCGCGGTGGCTTTTATTGGTGGTGGCCAGGATGGGGAATGCAATCGAGGCAGCTTAATGAAAAGCGAGCAAAGTTGGGTTCGGAGGGAGGGCTGGCGTTCTGGTAGCCTTGCTGGTATTCTCTTTAGAGAATAATGCAAATTATTTGTCTGGGACTATTCCTACCACTGAGCCTGCCGCAGCGTGCTGACCACAGGCCGAGACCCTATGCGTGTGCAGAGTAAGAGGGTCTCTGGGGACCAAGCTGTTTATTTTGGATTCTACAAATAAAGAAATGCTGCTAATTTTATAGCAGCTGCTTCTCGTAGATGTTTTGAGTGTCAGGCTCTGATTGTGTGTGTACAACCAGCGTGTTGTGGCCAAGCGTTTTCTAGCCCTCCATAATTCCCGAGTCTGGTGTTAATAACAGTCATTGTGAATTGATTTAAGTAGGAAAGCTGGTGAGGGTATGTGAATCTTGCTTGATGACTGCGCCACAAAATGCTGGGGAAAGTCCAACAGAGAGTTGGGGGATGCTGCTGCCGCTCAGAGAAGGGTCCAGGCACATTGTCAGGGCCGGTGGGGTTTTCCTCCAAAGCTTCAGCCCTTCCCCACCCACCTGAGCTCTCCAGCAAAGTTCCGTATTTCTTATCTCCTGCCATCTGAGGGGAAAAAAATGTTGTTTGTACACGGAGACCTGGATTGGAAGGCCAGAAAGACGGATTGCTCTAGACCTTTTTTCCTCCTGTTTAACGGAAAATGGGACTTGATTTAAAAAAAAAAAAAAAAATAGAAAAAAGAAAAAATCAAACCAACTTATATTAGAAAGCTTGAAAAGGAAGAACATGGCAAATAAAGTTCAGGTGACTTATTAATCTGATTAATAAGTGGGTGTCGTCTTTCTGGCTGAGACTTCCAGTGCTCAAATCTTTTTAAAACTGTAGAGTTGGTCCAAAGTGTGATGGGACTCTCCTATTCTCTATGACCTAAATCAGTGACCCAAAGCATAATATTTTCTCTAGAACCATCTGTTTCCTCCTCTTGCCAAGGGGATTTCACAATGCCTGGTTGCTCTGAATAATTGTACATGTGCAAGGATATGACTTGCCACAGGGAGAAAATTAACTGAACAAGGGCAGGTGGATGCTCTTGAGTTTTTTTTGTTGAAAATACTACACTTTAGAAAGAGATGGTGAAGAACCATGCAGCTGAGTAATGTTTTATGCCCACGCTATATGGGTTTTAAGCCCACATATTTAAAAAGACCCCACAAAATTACGCTTAGGAGCTGTTCAGGATAAACAGGGTCAATACCAAGTCAGCCTGTGTTTTGAAAGCCCCTTTATCAAATGTCTCTGAGAGCTGGTTTGGAGCAGTGTGAAACACAGGAGTACAGATGTTGGGTGACTAATTCATGCTTTGGCTAAGCTTCAGTGACCATGAACACACATCTGTTTCAACTCAGCTATCCGCCAAATGGCCTGCAACAAGGTACTCTTCTTTACAAACAACGTGTTTTCAGTTTCTTCTTTCAGACTTGGAAGTGGTGGCCACAGCCTGCCTTCTGGGAAGCAGAAGGCACCCAGGAACTGTGATCAGGGGAGCAATGTTCAGGGCTTCTGACTCCAGCAGTAAGAGCTTTTTGTAGCTTTAGCAAGTTTTCCAATGCAAACAACTCATTTCTTTTAAATCTGTCTTCATACATCCTTGCTTTTCCTTGTTCATCTTATCTGTTCTTATCACCCAGCTTTCTGACTTGCTCACTTCCTGCTCCGTCTATCTTTGTCTTCTCTGAACTAAAAAAAATTGGGAGGAGGGAGGGAGGGGAAGCAGACCAACAGTTCCTGGTGAGGAAACGACGTTTATATAAAACTGTCGTGATGAATTTTCAATATTACTCTTCCAGCCCGATCAATCCTACTACAGCACCCTTAAATAAAAGCAAAGGGAGGAGGGGGGCTTTGACCCGTCGTTGCAGTGTGGTTTTGTGGAGCAGATCCTGTACCGTGGGTGCAGGATGGTGCCCGTCGCTTCCTCAGGCCGGTTCTTCACTTGTGCTCAGCCCTGTCCCTGCGTAACAAGCCCCTGTCCTGATGAGGAGGGGTGATTTCTGTGTCATGGGGGATGAGGAGATTGGGGGGGGGGGGGTGACCGAGCCCTTTCCTTCAAGGGGGTATTGGCGTGTCTGTGGTCGGGAGGGGAGATGTTTCTCCCTGTATTTTTGCTGTTGGCAGCACAGAGGCTGCGTGGCTGGAGGGGCGGCCGAGTTCCTGGCCGGGCTGTGATTTAAAAAAAAACAAAACAAAACAAAACAAAAACAAAACAAAACAAAAAAAAAAAAAAAACCAAACAAACAAAAAAAAAAAAAAAAAAAAAAAAAAAAAAAAAAACACCAAAACTAAACTTTTTTCAGGAGGAAGAGGGGAGGTGTGCGTAGCCACCCACCCTGCCCCGGCCACGCTCGCTGTGACGGGGCCCGGGGGACGGCGGGGATGCTGTCGCTGGACGCAGCCTGTGGCGTGGCTGGGTTGGGCTGTGTCTCCCCCCACTCCCGGTTGCCCACCCGGCCCTGTGCTTGTTGGGGACCCAGCAGATGGGAAACGGTGGGGTGAGACACCCCCCCCCCGGGCGCTGAGGAGCTTGGCCTTTGAGGGTAGGTCTTCTGCTTGTGTCCCATCTCTGGCGTGCGCCTGGGAAAACCATCCTTCTCTTAGAAGTTGAAACATTTCATGGCTGGGCTCATTATTATTTTTTTTTTTTTTTTTTCTTTCTGGGGTGTGGTATTTTTATGAGCGAAACCAGTTCAGCCTTTTGTGTTCTCCAGCAAAGTAAAGGTATTGACGTACCGATTTTCCTCTCTTCCTAGAAACATTTTTAAGCACCGCGTGATTAAATTAACTTGGAATGGAGAAGCATAGTATGGCAAAGGCTCTCCTTGAGGAGAAAATGTAGCTTTAATAACTAGGAACCTGGCTTTTATTGGCTAGTAAAATTGAGAATGTAACACTGAGCATGCTCAGGTTTTTGCACTAAGCATCTCTATGTACTTAAAGGCATCTGTTCTTTCAGTTTACGCACTGTTAACTAACTGCAAACCTCTTTAACAGCTCCTCTACACTGCTGGAAAATCCTGAGGCAGGACAAGGGCAAGTAGGGCTGACGTGCCTGATGACTAATGTTGTAAATGGAGTGAGAAAGGCCCTTGAAGGGGGGAAGCCGTCAAAGCTGACCTAGTGGGAAAAGAGAGCAGGGACAGGTTTCCTCCTGAAGCATGCCAAGAGAGCCAGGCTTGGATGCATATGGGGCTCTTTCCAGTTTTGGGAAGGTGCAAAGTGATGCGCTGTGGAAGGAATGGCTCCAAAATCATTAATTAAAGACTGCCCTTCTGGTGCACCTTATGACCGAGTTGCTGTCAAGAACAAGGTTTTGCCAGGGTTTGAGCTCACTTGGTGCAGATTTCTGATGTGGAGTAGGTGTTTGGGAGGACTGTGAGCAAGAAAAGGCTGTGAAACACACAGTTTACAGTGATTAAAGATGGCAAGTATAAAAATACTTTTTTAAAAAAATGGTGGGGAGTTAGTAGATTCCCCTGTCCTCTCCTGCTCCTACCCTGAACTCCAGCGAGTATACTGCAATTTTGAAATGGGAAACACTTCTGCCAGCTGTGAAGCAGAATGATGGGCTTTAATTGGATGAGAAACAAGAAAATGCAATTGAACAAATACGCTTTCAGTGAAGAGAAAGGAAGTGGTATTGAGCATCACAGTAGCTAAAGGGGGCAGGTGCTAGCCTGCTGGTAGCATCTGAATCTGTCCTTGTTCAGTTGAACTAGATAATTTGTACATGGAAAACGGCAGTAATGGTAACACAAATGGGCTCGTTAGGTGGGTCTTCTTGAGTAACAGGGTAACTTGTCTATGCGTTGGGGAAAGATGAAAAATAAACGCGGTGTAGAGGAAAAATCTGTTATCTCTGGTTGGCCTCACTTAGTGCATCTTTCTCTTTGTCTCTGCAGGTTGAGGACGTCTGGGACCTGTTCGGTGGAAGCGACCATGTCGCGGGGAACTCACCCACCCACCTCCCCCCTGAGCTTCCAACTCCTGGGCGTTGTGCTGGTGTTGCTCTTCCACGCAGGCGGCACGGGCGCGGAGAGCCCCAGCGAATTGCCTGTGAATGACACCGAGGAGTGCACCGGCTCGTACATCTGCAAAAAGGGTGTGATTTTACCAATATGGGAACCCCAAGACCCTTCCTTTGGTGACAAAATTGCTCGGGCAACAGTGTATTTTGTAGCTATGGTGTACATGTTCCTGGGAGTATCCATCATAGCGGACCGCTTCATGTCCTCCATCGAAGTCATTACATCCCAAGAGCGGGAAATAACCATCAAGAAGGCCAACGGTGAGACCAGCAAAACCACCGTGAGGATCTGGAATGAGACTGTTTCAAACCTCACGCTGATGGCCTTGGGCTCGTCTGCCCCCGAGATCCTCCTGTCTGTTATTGAAGTGTGCGGCCATGGCTTCACGGCAGGGGACTTGGGGCCAAGCACGATTGTGGGGAGCGCTGCGTTTAACATGTTTGTCATCATCGCGATCTGCGTTTATGTTGTTCCAGATGGAGAGATAAGGAAAATCAAGCACTTGCGAGTGTTTTTTGTTACAGCGGCCTGGAGCATCTTCGCCTACACTTGGCTTTACATTATTTTATCCGTGTCTTCTCCTGGGATTGTGGAGGTTTGGGAAGGCTTGCTTACCTTCTTCTTCTTCCCCATCTGTGTGGTGTTTGCCTGGATAGCTGACAGGAGGCTTTTATTTTACAAGTACGTCTACAAGAAATACCGAGCTGGCAAGCAGAGAGGCATGATCATCGAGCACGAGGGCGACCGGCCATCCTCCAAAGCTGATATCGAGATGGACGGAAAGGTTGCTAATTCTCATGTGGAGAACTTTTTGGATGGGACACTGGTGTTGGAGGTGGACGAGAAAGACCAGGATGATGAGGAAGCCAGGAGGGAAATGGCCCGGATCCTGAAGGAGCTGAAACAAAAGCACCCCGACAAGGAAATTGAACAGCTTATAGAGTTGGCCAACTACCAGGTCCTGAGCCAGCAGCAGAAGAGCAGGGCCTTCTACCGCATTCAGGCCACTCGGCTCATGACAGGAGCTGGCAACATCTTGAAGAGACACGCTGCAGACCAGGCCCGCAAAGCTGTCAGCATGCACGAGGTCAACAGCGAGGTGGCAGAAAATGATCCCATCAGCAAGCTCTACTTTGAGCAGGGTACCTACCAGTGTCTGGAGAACTGTGGCACCGTCGCCCTGACCATCATTCGCCGGGGAGGCGACTTGACCAACACGGTGTACGTTGACTTCCGGACAGAGGATGGGACGGCCAATGCCGGCTCTGACTACGAGTTCACCGAAGGGACGGTGGTCTTCAAGCCTGGAGAGACCCAGAAGGAAATCCGTGTTGGCATAATCGACGACGACATATTTGAGGAGGATGAGAACTTCCTGGTTCACCTCAGCAACGTCCGCGTGAGCACCGAGGCCTCAGATGAGGGCATTCTCGAGGCCAGTCGTGTCTCAACTCTGGCCTGCTTGGGGTCACCATCTACTGCCACCGTCACGATCTTTGACGATGACCACGCTGGCATCTTCACCTTTGAGGAGCCAGTGACGCACGTCAGCGAAAGCGTGGGGACCATGGAAGTGAAAGTGTTGCGAACCTCTGGTGCGCGTGGAAATGTTATTGTGCCCTACAAAACCATCGAGGGCTCAGCCAAAGGTGGAGGAGAGGACTTTGAGGACACCTGCGGGGAGCTGGAGTTCCAGAACGACGAGATAGTGTAAGTAAAGGTTTTATTTGTTGCTTACAGCCTCTGGTCCTCCTGAAATTAAACGCGCGTGGCTCCCAGAACTGCATGGAAAGTGTTTGGGTGTCAGCACGTTGCATGAATGCTTTGGGGAGCCTGAAACACTGTGGTCTTACCTTGCTAACAGACCAGAGAGTGATGCCTGCTCAGGGCCACTCCACCGTTGCGGCAGCAGGGTGGTGGGACTGGGGTGTGAGCCCAGCCTCCCGCGCCATACCCGCGCGCTGAGCAGATCTCTACAGCCACAGCCGTACAGTGGAGCAGAGAACAAAACCGAGCTGGCTGTTACCACCCAGTCACAAGTACCTGTCTTGCGAAGGGCCTAAATTGAGCGTATGAATAATGATACCTGCTTCCCTCTTGCCTGTTGGAGGTTATCCGGGACTGGGCCACAGCCTGTCCCGCTGATGCTCTGCTCAGGGCTTTGGTGTGAAGGTCGCTTCACCTCCTCCCCTTCCAAAGGCTGCAGGCCTGGGTCGTTGTCCAATGCGTGTCCTGAAAAAGTACTGTAATGCAGAGAAGCCTCATGGTTAGGATGCAACTGCAGCCACGTTTGGCTGCTTGCAAACAGAGAAGAGGCTGAAAGCTGTTGGAGGTTACTCCTGAGTGTTGCCAGGTGGACGGTGGAAAAATTATTAGCGCTGTAGCCTTGTTTATTACATTATGTGGAGAATATAAATTAGCCCGGTAAATCATAGTAGAAAACATCTGTCCTTGGGTATCTCATGAAGACATTTTTTTGCCCAGCTGGGGCTCTGGGAGGAGCAAGGGTTGGGAGTTGCATTGTTCCAGCCTCAGGCTCTTCCTATGGTGAAGTCTGTGTCTGCAGATCAGTCCCTGCCGACTGCTAGCACAAACCACGGCGTGGAACATGGATCCGTCACTGCTAAAGGGGACTGCTGTGTCCAGGGAGGGCTAAATATCGGCTTTGGTGTTGCATATCACACAACTAATCTCTTAGGAGCTGAGACAGACCCATGCCGAGTGCCGAGAGCGGGCTTCGTGTTCTATCTGTTACTTGTATTTGCTCCATGTGCACAGGGAAAACGAAACAAACAGGGAAATCATAAAACTTCTTCAAGTAGTGGGAAAGAAAAAAATGAGTTCTCGGGCAGGGTATTAGACCAGTTGGGGTTATGACTTCTCAGGAAAAACTGAGCAGGAACTCCAGCAATCTGGAGGCCAGAACATGCATGTTGCTTCCCCAAGGGTTGAGAGCACACAATGTGCCATTGTTCCTGGCTCCTGAATGATAACTGTAGTAGAGAGGAATGCAGTTATTTGTTTTTTGGGTTTGTTTTGTTTTTTTTTTTTTTTTTTTTTTCATGTAGGGAGAAGCAAGGAGTTGTCTGCAGAGATGCAGTGAACTAGGCTAAAAGGATATCCCCCGAAGGCTCCTTACTTGCTAACCAGGTCACTCAGCCCTAGCAAAACTGGGCTGCTGACAGGAAGACTTTGAGGTTTGATCTCGGTTCCCCTGGGATGTGACATGTTTACACGGCAGGGCAGACCCCTGGCCACAGGCTCCGCGACTGCTCTCAGAGGGGCTTGGGCTTCCCCCCCCCCCCCCCCCTTGGCGTTGGCTCCGTCACTCTGGCCGGGATCTCTGCGCCGTCCTTCGTCAAAGACGGGTCACGTCACCTCGCGTCTGCCCCGCCGGTCGGTGCTCAGTCTCTGCTGGGGGGTTTTGCAGTGGGGCAGCGGTACCTCCTCCCCGGGGCTCGCTGTGCTGTGCCTGCTGCTGCTGTTGGCCCCTCCACCACCAAGCTGTTCGATGGTGACTTTTACCAGCAGGCCAGTAACCGAGGGATGTGGTGGCCACATCCCATCCGAGCTGCTGCCTGGCCTCGGGGGGCTACTGGTGTGCCCTCCTCATGCCAGCAAACCTCCTTCCTTTCCTTGCTGGCTGTCAGCACGTGCACAGCGAGCCCGAAACGAGGGAAAACAGCTTTCTTAGTAACCCGAGCGTGTTGTTTCTGTGCAGATGCCAGGGCGTTGCCATCACATCTCTATTGCCTTTAAACTCTCTCTCTCTGGAATCGCAGGGAGGGACAGTTCACGGGAAGCAACAGCTTTAGGAGTTTGCAGCCTGGGACAGGTGAGGGCTTGGGGAATGGGGTGGGAGGAGGTGGCGACTGCAGGGCCGCATGTTGACCAAGGCTCTTGCTCCATTCAGGTGGAAGAGGGCATGCATTCTCCCTTATTTTTCCGGCAGAAGGGTGAAACTGATTGTGCAAATTGCAATCCGTTGATTTGCCTGGAAGGCAGTAGGTGTTCATCTAAAACTCAGCTGCAACAGTCCACGTTCGGGTGCTGAATGGTACAACCTGACTTGCAGAAGATTTCCTGCAGATCCGTGTTTGCCTGGGCACAAGCTTAGGACAGCCCTGCAGCACAAAGACGGTGTGGTCCTAAAGCTGAGGTGCTGTTATAGGCATCCTTCCTCGGATTAATTTGCTCTCGTGAGAATAAAGATGTGCTAGCACAACGTGTGGATTATAGAGCTAAAGCCTGTTTGCTATCTCATTGCTCGTTAGGGCTGTGCTTCAGCTCAATCAAAGCTACGTAGAACGGTGCAATCCTCCAGCACGCTTGATTCAATAAAGTTCTAAAACTTCAGGTTTTCCCATGCTCTGGTGGCCAAGAGACGGGTTTGCTGCCCTTTCTGTAGGTCTTTAGTGCCTCTTCAGCTCTGCCATTCTAGGCTTTATCAATCACCTTCATAAAACTGAGCAAGATGTGGTTTTCTGGGGCGCTACCAACAAAGGTAGGGCAGTGCAGGGGGACACGAGGATGAAAGCAAGCTGTCTACAAGCCTCTATTATTAGAGGTCTGGGTTGCTGGTAAGTCCCAGTAAAATCAGAAAGCGCTGGGAGGGCCCTGATCTTCTGGAGACCTTCCTCTAGTTCCCAAAAGGCCCAATTACGTAACGTTGTTTGTTTGCAGCGTCCAGACACTTCCCCATTTTGCAATCTGTTGATGTCCCCTTTCCCAGAGCACACAAAATAGCTGTGTAACTGCTGAAGCCATGCAAATCCTGTGCGTTTAAACAAAGATCTCCTTCCGATGCTACCAAAAAAAAGATGTATAATGGAATAGATGTTCCTATGGAACATCTTAGCCCAGCGCTGCCTGGTAGCCTCTTGATGTTTTCCTGCTCCTTGCTCCTGAAGCACAGCTTGTGTGTTCAGCGTTGACAAGTGAAAGAAACAGAATTTAAACGTGTTTTTCAAAGGGGCTAGCTGGGTTTGCTCAGCAGATTGTTCTAAACTGTCTGGGAAAACTAAAGAAGTCTGACCCGGGTCTCAGCAGCAAGGTCAGTCTCAGTGATGCTGCACGGGTACCTGGAGCTCTGAGACATCGGTGTAGGACAGGGTGCTATGATTCAAAGGGTAAGAGAGAGCCTTCCCACTGGGACCATCCTCCAGAAGGTGATTCCAGCCTTGTCTTGCATCTCCATTAATGACTAAAGCTTTCTTGAGGAGAACATGGAGAAGTTGTGTAGTTGCAGGCTCTTCCTGTCTACCCATCTACCACAGCTACTGTGATCAGAGCAGAGGTCACGGGTTCATCTAGCCCAGTGTATTTTTATCTCCTGACCGAATGCCAAATAATTCAAAAAAAGGCCAGCCTCCTATCTTAGAGGAGGAAGCAGTCCTTCCCCCAGCTGACGGGATCTCTTCTCGAAACATCAGGAGGGGCACCTCTCCGAGATGTGGCTGCAAAGCTATGGGAAACCTGTGTGTTCTTTCACGGTTAAAAGCCAGTAGTTTTTCTCGAGATAACATTGCAACTCGAGATCTATTACAATCTGCATTCCAGGTATCTGCGCCCACACTCCCCCAAAGAAAAGTAAGTCAGTGAGGAAGATGGTACACACAATTATATGGATAACTGATTACCCCGGTATTTCACCTATGCAATTATACCTGTAAATGCATGGAGAATCTGCTGTTAGATCTTGCTGTTCATAATATATAGTTTAGCTGTTTTATAAAAGGTGTCTGTTCAGGTTTAGGAAGTGACACTCTTGGCCCATTGAATTTGACCTGTCCAAGACAAATTCTCTCATTTTCAATCTAAATCCTCTGATTTTTTTTTTTTTTTTTTTTTTTTTTTAGGGAAAGTGTCCCCAGAGACCACATAGCCTCCCTTCCAAGAGCCCTTAAAAAATGTCAATGTGAATAAATGTAGATTGGGGGGGGGGGAACTAAATGGTACTGTATTTTTAAGTTCCCCTTTTCTTTTTCAAAAGAAAAGGGGGGAGGTATTTCTAAAGAAACAGCAAAATTAAAATCGGGATTCAGCCCTGGGACCTCTCTAGCTCAGCTTTGCATCCGTGGCCTGCAGCTTCAGAGAACCAAATGAAACCTCCAGCATGGTCAGCCTTGCAGTGGGAGAGCAGGGGGGGGTCTTGTGGTGTGGCAGAGAGTCCGCTGTAACCCAGACCGAAGATGAAGCAAACAAACATTCCCCTTTTCACGTTTTATTTTTGGAGACGTTATCTCTCAGCTTGTCCATCCCACTTTGTTGGCATGGGTTCGGTGCGCGTCCCCCCTCCCTGGCAAAGCCCTGGCTTGCGCAGGGTTAATGGCTGGAGGCACAGTGTGAGGTACCAAAGCGGACCGAGGAAGATTAAACTCTTATTTGGTCTGCTTCCAGCGCCAGCTTGGGTTTTGGAGCATGTTTTCCCCTCGCCACTGTCAGTCTCACCTGACCCAGTGGGGCTCGGAGGCCACCAGGATCTAGGTCTTGGGTGCTTGGCAGGAGCACCCAGTGCCCTGAGTTCATCTAAGGGGAGGTGGCCCCGAGCCGAGCCCGTGTGTCACACCAGGCTGGGGCGAGGCACGGGGGCCTGTTTCCCTTTCCAGGGGAGTTTTGGGGAGAACTTCACTGGGGCTGAAAAATGCATCCTTGCTTTGGGTCCTGAAGGCCAAAAGCTGGTTTCTCCCCTCTTCAGGGGGGAGAAGGTG